TCCTATTTAGTGATACTCACCTGTATGTGACTTTCGGAGAAGGTACGATATTGAGTAGCTACCTGACTTTTTTCTTCTGGGATAAAGTAAAATATTAAACCGAGCATAATACCTCCAATTAACATGCTGAAAAACATTTAGTACTGCCGATTTCCCCGTATTCAATAAGAACTTTTCTCTTGTATAGTTCATTCCTAACACAAGATAATAAAAAAAGCATGCGGACAAGAGCGCAGCGTGCCCACGCCTTGTCGTGCGCGAGAAATTCGAAAATCAGCTTTTCTGCGGCTGTGGAGGATAGTATGCAATAATAATTGTTCTTTGTATTTCTTTTCTTCGGGCAGAAGGTAGTAGCTGACTATCAAGCAGGTGTTTGGTTGCCTATCTCATATGATAAGTAGAACGAATGGTCCTTTGCTCGTATTTTGGTTTTTTCTGCTTACCATATGAGATCAGCAACAAAGCGCCTGCTTGTGACGTCAGTTAGCACCTTCTGCCTGAAAAAAGAAGTATAAATAAAAACTATAGAAAACTCGCAAGCTACCCTCTACGGCTGCAGAAACAACTGATTTTTGAATTTCCCGCACTTGAAGATCAGAGGCGTTGGCGCGCCGCCCCTTTGTCGGCAAGCGTTTTTGTTATCTTGTGTTAGGAACCGACTATACTTATCCTTATGGAGACTTATACAACCAATAAGTCTCGGAATCTGATTTCCAATGTTTTCGAACTTCCATAGATGTTCTTCACCTACTGTGACCAACAGCTGTTTCAATTCCTGAATTTGATTCAACCGTACGTCGTGATGAGTGTTCAGCTATATAAGCGCCTTCACCATTGTTATACACTAAATCGCATCAAATATTCTGATGGTCTTGTAGGGAAAGAATGAGAAATTTGTTTTATTTTCTATCCAACTCACATGAATAAGCGAATCCCATCAACACTTGAGAGAAGTAGAAGTAGTACGAGTTGATATAAAAGAAACCCAAATGATAGGTAGCAAACATTACGGTAGCTATGACAAGAATCCATTTTGAAGCAAAATAGTGTTGTAAACCAGCTGAGAATAGGCTTGAAATTGCAAAAGCTGAGTAATGAAAAGCTTGACTGAAAAGTAAAATTTGTAGGCTACTGGTTTATGATTTTAAATCAGGTCTAGTCACCAACACTCACCCGTAGTATCCTGCAAAACCCGATATCCGCTGTGGATCCTTACTATGAACTGAATGTAAAACAGATTCCGAAATAAAGCATTGCGTGAAATAGCCAAGATAAAGGAATAGTGTCCCGAGTCCAAGTAAGTAAACCGAAAGCAGTTCGTGTCGTCGTGGAGTCAACTCCATCTTTTTTCTAGAATCAGGACAAGTAACTTGAAATGTTATATGCCCACATCTAGCTGTTTTCGTTTGAGTGAACTGTCATAAAGCAAAGCAGAAATAAGTGGGGGATCTTCTGCGTAGAAGTAGGAATTAGAGCTATGTATGCAGCAGCCAATAACAGTGCGGGTGTGGCAGGATGCAGTTCAACGCACGGTTTTTGGCAAAAGGCATTTTGCTTATTGCATACAAATCACCTTGCATTCAAGGAAACGATTACCAATATAGCATATAAAATCTCCTAACCCTTTGGGAATACGCTGATCACGGTAATCCAGAACATTCTTAAGCACAGTTACTGCATAAACCATGTGAATATATAAAGCAGATTTAGGATGTTAGACAAACTGTAAAGTGCTAATCCAAATTTATACTATTTGGAAACTAGTGGCAAATGCGGCCATATCTTTTTGTTAAAGCGGTTTCGGTTCCAAATTCATCCAGCTGGAGAAAAAGCAGACCTGTGCAGAGTTAAATTCGCTAAATTATCTCTATACTGGAACGGAACTGTGACGAAAATCCCATTTAATGATGATTAGTGCTGATCGGCGACGGATTTGCGACGATGTAGGTTTTGCTAGGAATTTATAAAAAGGTAGAGGAGTCCGTATGAGTGTTTGATTATGATTGGACAATGAACGATTTGAGGATGACAAGGCCAGTTTCATTTATCCAATTAACTTCGTGATTGTGCGGATGGAAATGTCCCGACGGTGGCGAAAAGATTTGACACAGTACTGACAATGAGAAAGAGTGCATCCTATCCCCATACTTCACTTATATATAGGGGTTTCCACTTTCCCCGAAACTTTTTCAAACAAGTATCATACATACATAGTGCATACTCCGCTAGTGACATCTGATTAGCTAGCTTGAAGTCAACAAAACATTGTTACTGCGTTTCTTTGAACTGATAATTTCAAAACTTCTCCTACTCAGTTTCTTCATTTTAAAGCGTGAATTTAGCGGAAATGACTCGATTAAATTTTTTCCTGTTAATTCTTAAGTGGCACAGTATCTCCACTGTTTTATATACTGCGGAAATGAAAGTAAAATCTAAGCATACTGGAGCAGTTCGCTACCGTTAGC